GGGGAGCGACAGCGTCTGACTCTGGGGTCACATGATAATGTCCTCTGCCAAATAGGGGTCACATGTGGAGAAAGTTTCGGAAGGCCTGCTCTAGGACTGGATGGAGCGGACGTCTGCTCATGGTGGCGCGCTCCCAGTTTCTTTTTATAGCCTCATAGCCCATCGGCAGCGCGCAGCCAGAAATAAAGAAAATGCGATCTAAGTTCCCTTGAGTATTTATTTTCACTATTGCGTTCTTTTGAAACGTAAGTCGTCAGTCTGCACTGCATTTCTGATCTGAAAGCACCGGAGATGATCCATTCGCCAATGTCACTCAGCTGCCGCTTCCTGCCTCCGAAGCTTCTCGTCCCTTGTGCGAGCTCAGGTGCGACACGAGGGAGAAGCGCTCTGCGAACTGTTTGCCGCATTCGGAACACGAATAGGGTTGATCGCCGGTGTGGATTTTCTCGTGTCGCACCAGGTCGGACTTCTGGGTAAAAGCTCTGCCGCACTCAGAACAGGAATATGGGCGGTCGCCGGTGTGGATCCTTTGATGCGTGACCAGGTTCGATCTGTCGGTGAAGCATTTCCCGCATTCCGAACACGAATAGGGCTTCTCCCCTCGGTGGACCTTCTCGTGGGTGAGCAGGTAGGATTTCCGGGAGAAACATTTCCCGCACTCGGCGCACGAGAACGGTTTCTCCCCCGTGTGGGACCTCTGGTGCGTGATGAGCGTTTCTTTCCGGGTAAAACACTTGCCGCATTCCGAGCAGGAAAACGGCTTTTCGGCTCGGTGGCTCCTCTCGTGAATGACGAGGTTGGACCGCTCCGTAAAGCATTTCCCGCACTCCGAACAGGAAAACGGCTTCTCGCCCCGGTGGCTCCTCTGGTGCGTGAGCAGTTGTTTCCGCCACGAAAAGCATTTGCCGCACTCGGCGCACGAAAAGGGCTTCTCCCCCGAGTGGTTTCTCTGATGCGAAATCAGGTGACCTCTTTGGGTGAACGATTTGCCGCACCCGGAACAGGAAAACGGCTTCTCGGCCCTGTGCGTTCGCTCGTGGGTGACCAGGTTCGACCCCACGCTGAAGCATTTCCCGCACACCGAACAAGAGTATGGCTTCTCTCCGGTGTGGACTTTCTCGTGCGTAATGAGATTCGACTTCCGGGAGAAGCACTTCCCGCATTTGGGACAAGAGAACGGCTTCTCCCCCGTGTGAGTTTTTTGATGGCGGATGACGTCGGACTTTTGTACGAAACACTTCCCGCACTGGGAACAGGAAAAGGGCGTGTCGCCACTGTGCCATGCCTGATGCCTCCGGAGAAGACATTTCTGAGTAAAGCTTTTCCCACACTCCGAACACGAATACATCTTCCCCGCCGCGTGACTCTTCTGGTGGGAAGTGAGATCGTCTCTGCTATGAAAACGTTCCCCGCACCTGGAACACGGGAACATTCCCATCCCTATGATAGATGAGGGATCAGGAGACGCACCCCCCGGCGCATCACATGGGGCGTCCTCCTCCTCAGGTTTACCATCTGACAGGTCAGAGGGACATTTCTCTGCATCAGATCTTTTGTATCGGCCGTCTGGAGGGCAAGAAAATAACAATGTTCAACATTCACGTCATTCATTCATCTTTTATTGACAAAATACATAAAAAAAATTAAAATAATGAAAGTCTGTAATTCAGGAATGGCGCGCGGCAGTCCACGGAAATGACAGAAAACCACCAGAACACGTCGGAAAACTGGACTGCATGCAGAGAGGTCCAGTATAGGTTTTATTCTCATTTCTTCTTTTATTATCATTATTATTTCTTCTTCTTTTTCATTATTATCAGTTTTTTTTTATTTTTGCCATTATTGTTATTAATAGTTTTCTTTTTTTTTTTATTCGTTTTCTTTTTAATTATTATTAGTTTTCTTTTGTATTATTATTGCTCTTTTTTTTAAAATGATTATTATTAGCTTTATTTTCATTTTGTTATTATTATTGTTTTTTTAAAATTAGTATTATTAGTTTACTTTTTAATTATTAGTTTTAGTTTTTATTATTATTGTTCTCTTTTAAAATGATTATTATTAGCATTATTTTCATTTTGTTATTATTATTGGGGACATATTTTCCACTAGCTCCTTGTCCCAGTGTTCATAAAGCTCAGTAGCTGAAGCTGACACGTACAAGTGAATGAACCCCGGGTGGGCGCCAGTCCCTTTCCTAAATCTGCCTTCATTCGGAGGATTCAATTAGAGACAGATAGCTGACAGTGAGCAGTCCCTGCTGTGCTCCTGCTTTAGAAAACCCATACTGAACCTCTATGGCGAACCTCGGCACTCCTGCTCTTTTGGAACTACAAGTCCCATGAGCAATTGCAAGGCTCTGACAGCCACAGACAGAGGCAGATGCATGTTGGGATTTGTAGTTTTGGCACAGCTGGAGTGCCAAGGTTCGCCACCGCTGCTCTATGGGGACCTCGACTGCAACAAAAACCCCTGAGGGGGGTTCTAACCCTTCCCCCGCTTGATCCAAAATGTCAAACAAAAAGCTTTGGGCTGAGGTTGGGGCTTTAAGGGTCCGGTACTCACCCGTTCCTATTTCCTCCTCCTTACGCGGCCCCGCGCCCCCCACACGCGTCTCTTCTGCCTCTTCCTTGATGGTGATGACATTTATATCCTGAATGACACAAAATGACACAAACGTTGTCATGGCCACGCTCTCCAGCAATGTCACCGGCAGGAAGACCTCCATGGTGACCGATGGCCAGAGTCATTCAACCAACTTCCTGTCACCTGCTGATCTCTCCTCCAATCACTGGACCCCGGAAGGGAGGTGCCTTACAGGTATCACTATTTACAGTCTCCGCCTCCTAGAGCCAGAAGAAGAAGATTTTCCCCATAGTTCTCCTAAGGGTCACGGGAGGACGCTAGTTTGCGTCCTCTCTGCTTCCTCAGCTTCTTTGGGGTCCCTAGGTGACATTAAAGAGGACCTGTCACACCCGATTTGCTATCACATAGGGGGCTTGTTATCCCCTTATGTGATAGCAATAAAGTTAGTGAAAAAAAAAAAAAAAAAGTGTTTGAAAAGAAAAATATTCAAGCAAAACATTAAAACATATTTGTGTACAAAAAAAAATGTAAGTCCCCTATCGTGCGCGCACATACATACGCAAACATACGTTGGTGCGCCCGCGTGCGACAACGAAATGTTACATAACGTCGCAGTGAGAACAATAATTCTCGGCCCGTCAATCCCTGTTAGCGCTAAACTGATGAGCGGTCAAATCTTTGAAAGCGTCGCCTATGGGAATATTTGGGGTACTGAAGGTTTTTTTTGCGGCTTTACGGACGCACGCAATTTTAAGCCTTGACGCGTTTGGTGTCTCTTTACCCGGCGTGACCGCGACTTTTTATATTTTACCCCAAAAATTGGGGATTGTATTCTGTTTCTGTGCAATACATGTATTTAGTTTTATCCTAAAAATAGCGGTTTGATAAACATTTGCGCCTATACCGCGCGACATAAAAAAAATTGCAACTGGCGTCTTTTTATCCGACGGGGCCCTCGGCTTCTACAACGTATATCATTGTTTGGGGGTCTGAAGCTGTTTTCTAGCCACAAATTTATATTTTATCATGTGTGCGCAAATGTAAGAAATTGCTCCGGGCGGCAAGTGGTTAAGTTAAAGGAGAACTGTGGGGTTAAGGCTTTTCCCCATAGTTCTCCTAAGGGTAACGCAAACTAGCGTCCTCCCGTCACCCTAAGCTCAGCTGTAGCTCGCTGTATACTGAGACCGCCGGGCCGGATCCCGACATTACTAAAAGGCTTTAAACAGAGCCAGGAACGATGGCAAAGGGGTCTCGAAAGATAAAGGACATCATGACCACTAGACTCTACCTAAATATCAGTAGGGCTGCTACTACTGATTATTTTCATCATCGATTAGTTGGACGTTTATTTCTTTTGATTAATATGCGCGCGTTTGCGGGGTCGGGGGACTTTACACTTTTTGGGGGGTATTTTTAATTTGATTTAACTCTTATTTATTTTTTTACTTCATTGCCATCACATTGCTCACATGCCCCTATGTGATGGCACATTTGAGATGACAGGTTCTCTCTAAGGTGAAGTTAGGGGGTCTATTAGACCCCTAGTGTCACCTTTCTACTTCACTGAGGAATGAGAGCTGCCTGCTGAGGCAGCTGAATGTAAATACATCAGGCCGCGGCTGGGAGCAATATCCTGCCTGCTATTGGCTCATTTAAATTACAATAGCATGGCTGGTTATTGCAGCCGCCCACTGCCTGATGTCAATCAGCAGAGGAGGGAACCGAAGGAGAAAGTTCTCCATCAGGTCCTCCTCTGCTGATTGACAGCAGTCAGTGGGCGGGTGCAATAACCCCCCACTGGCTATTGTTTCCAGCCGCTGATGGGAGACTTGATGCCGGCTTCCTACCGCCGACAGAAGAGGGGGCACAAGGGAGCAGCGGAGGAACGGTGCGGGCAGAGGAGGAGGAACGGGTCAGCCAGAGGAGGAGGAACGGGGCAGACGCGCCGGTACGAGGGGGGGCAGCGGTGGAATGTAGAGTCACCTCCGTCTCTTCTCCCCGCTGATGCGTGCTGCAGCGGTCTGTGTCCCCGCTGCCCCTGCCGATTGAAAGGGACCAAGACCACTGCAGCCGGCACCATCGGGGAGGAGAACGGACGAGCAGAGCGGTGGCGGCTCCAAATAACGGAACAATCAACTAATCGATAATGAGAATCGTTGACAATGATCCTCATTATCGATTAGTTGTTGCAGCCCTAGAGGGCAGAGCCTTTAATACATCATAGTAGGAGGAGTCTCTGACAAACAGAAGCCTCGGCCTTAAATCTGTGCATCTAAGGAGGCCCCCCCTCCCCCCCACACGCGTATCATTTGACGAGGCTCTGGTTTCCACCTACCTGATCATCCTGAGGGATCTTGTGATGTTCCGGTGTGGAATAAGGAGGAGGGGAACATCTCTCTGGGGTATTTCTATGACTAGATTCGCCTGCAAGAAACACATTTGTATTTATAAGACCAAAATTATAAGAGTTGTAAGAAAATCAAAGAGGAGCAGCAGTGGGAGGAATAGAGGTGCTACATTGTTCACTGATCAGTTGACCCGAGACCACCACGCTTGCTTCAAACAGATAAAGTCTCAGAAATGCCAACCAAAATAACTCCTTCACTACAAACAGGGCCGGATTTACTCTCCCTGCCGCCCCAAGGCCAGGTTCTGCAATGCGCCCCCGCCCCCATCAACAGAGAATGGCAACCGGATGGCCGGGGGCGGCAGGGTTAGTTTTATTTTTTTATTGTTTCTTTATATATTTTTTACTTTTCTTTTTCTTTTACTTTTTTATATATTTTTTTAAATCTTATTATTGTTTATTATTTTTTTATAATAATTTTCCTATTTTTTAATAATTTGTTCTTATTATTTTTAACTTTTTAATCACCTTTTTATTTGATTTAATTCATTTCTTATGGT